CCTAAACCCTAAACCCTAAACCCTAAACCCTAAACCCTAAACCCTAAACCCTAAACCCTAAACCCTAAACCCTAAACCCTAAACCCTAACACCTAAACCCTAAACCCTAAACCCTAAACCCTAAACCCTAAACCCTAAACCCTAAACCCTAAACCCTAAACCCTAAACCCTAAACCCTAAACCCTAAACCCTAAACCCTTACGAACCCTATAAAGAAGTGATGCTAAGCGCACGAACAGGTACGGGTGGATCGCTGGACGGTGGATGCCAGGGGTGCCATGCTCAGTTGACACCCTAGCCAGCCCTAAACCCCAAGCCGGAAACCCTAAACCCTGAACCCTCCGCCTAAACCTAACTAACGAATCCCCAAGCCCGTAATCCCTCAAGCCCTAAACCCTAGACCCTAGACCCTAAACCCTAAACCCTGAACCCTGAAATCCTAAACACGAAACCTTAGAGGCCCTCATCGTTATTGAAATAGCTGTACTTACAACTGTACTTGAAACCATCTTAGGGCACTTGAGGGGCTTCTAAGTGGGTTGTAAGTACAGGTTTAATTGGTTCGTAAGTACCATGAACCTCCAAGCTGTCGTCTCCTGGACACAGCTGGGTGCACTTTCAAAGGGTTTAGGGTTTAGGGTTTAGGGTTTAGGGTTTAGGGTTTAGGGTTTAGGGTTTAGGGTTTAGGGTTTAGGGTGTCTTCATGGCCAAGCCAATCCCAGATACGGCTTTCCAAAGTTATTTCTGGGCTTAGGAGGTTCAGTGTACTTTTGGGATCGTTGTGTCCATCCCCTTTACGGTACTATCATTTAGGGTTTAGGGTTTAGGGTTTAGGGTTTAGGGTTTAGGGTTTAGGGTTTAGGGTCTAATGAGTGCACTAACTGGTCCTAGCTGTTGCAAATGTCGAAGACCACACTTTTAGGATGCTAAGTCTGCCACAGGACTGCAGCTTCGGTACTTCTCTGCCTACGACGCCTACCGGGCAAGGCGGGAGAAGCCCGGGGGTTCAGGGTTTAGAAGTTTAGTTTGGGGTTTGGGGTTTGGGGTTTGGGGTTTGGGGTTTGGGGTTTAGAAGTTTGGGGTTTGGGGTTTAGGGTTTAGGGTGTGTTACGTTCTTGCTCGCTGGGCTCCGGGGCCTCACCTTGTTTTTCCCAACCGGCCCTCTGCCCGGGTCGCTCGCAACATCGCGTGGCGGTAAGCCCACCCCGAGCCACCTGGCATATTTACTTTTAGGGTTGAGTTCCTAAAGTCTAATTTTGTTTTTCCCAGCGGGGGCATGCAGTACCACTGCACACGCTGTTTCAGCACCGTCCCGATTTGAGCCTTGCTGCAAAGAGATGGGGTTTGGCAGCGCTCGCTTCGCCGAAACTAAGCTGTGAAAAGGTCGTGGGGGTAGCCCTTCATCAAAATCGGGCGTGCTTCTTTGTCTCACGTATTGGTTTGGGTTACCGTAGGGGTACCGCTGCCCCTCGACCGGGCCAGCGTCCCGACCGTTTGCATCCCTCGTCACGACATTCGGTTTTGCAGTAACCGGTTGGGGTTACTGCAGGGGTACCGCTGCCCCTCGACCGGGCCAGCGTCCCGACAAGCTCATTTCAATTTCAGTTTAGTGTGAAGAGGTTCAAAAATGGTCTGGGAGAATCCTAAGCTTAACCCTATACCCTACCGGCAAAACAGAGGGTGCATAAACCCTAATCCCTACACCCGAAACCCCAAACACTACACCCTGGAACCCATTCTAATTCAGTTCTCCAACTCGTGGTGCTTCTCCGGATGCCCGACATAGCTGCAAGAGTCTGTATTGTAACAGCGACTAGGGTCTAGGGTTCAGGGTTTAGGCTTAGTAGCTGAGTGAGTACACTTTACACTTTTTGGGATACTATAATCCCCTATAGAACTGAAACCGTACACTTTTTTGGGGCTTATGAACTCAGCAACGAAGTAGGCCTTAGGGTTTAGAGAGTATAGTTGATAAAGCCTAAGCACCTGCATGCTTGGGACAGGCTGCCAGAGTGGACGCTCATCCAGGTGGGCCTGCGTCGGGTTGCGCGCCCTAAACCCTATTTCAGGGTTTGAAGGTTTAGGGTTTAGGGTTTAGGGTTTAGGGTTTAGGGTTTAGGGTTTAGGGTTTAGGATTTAGGGTTTAGGGTTTAGGGTTTAGGATGTAGGGTTTAGGGCCTGCCCGCAGCCCGAAGCCCTAAGTTTTTGGCGCTCGTGAATCTGCCAGTGGGCCTCCAGGACTTGAGCGTACACCTGAGTTGCTTGGCAAAGAAGCAGGAGGCCTGGGCAACGGGTTGTGGGTTCGGTTCAGGGCTTATGGGATTATCGGATGATAGGGTTATAGGATTATAGGGTTACAGGAGTATAGGGTTCTAGCGTTATTGGATTATAGCATTATAGGGTCATCGGAGAATCGGATTACAGCGTCATAAGGTTTTTGTACGGTTTAGGGGTATAGGGTTTAATTTTTAGGGTTGGGTTTTTTTGGGTGTTGCAACCCTACCCGCCCTACCCATGACTAGCCATGAGCCTTGAAGCGCCCCTCGAAGAAGAGCCGCGCAACAATACGGGACTACTTCACCCTGGTACGTGGCCAAGCCGCAAGAAACGAAAGCCCTGCCCTCGACATCACAAAGCTTCAGCCCTCGATTTGGGGGTACACGGGCTTGGGGTAGGTTTCTTGTTCAGTAAGCATTCTCCTAAACCTCAAACCATGGTCCCTAAATCCGACACCCTAGACCGAAACCCGCCCTAAAGAACCTTAATCTACAACCCTACAATCCAATCCAGAAACTGTAGAACAACTTGCCACATGGTACGAAGTTCGGAAGTCCTAACAACCCTGAACCGCCCTGTCTTTCGAGCTAGGGTGCTTTTGAAGCGTTGAGGGCTTTAGGGTTTGGGGTTCGGGGTTTAGTTTTTTCTGTTTGGTTCCAGCCAGAGTTGTGGACCATGGAGGAATTGAGAGTGCAAGAGGGCGAGAGGCAACGGCTGAAGCAACTGGGGCTAGGGGGCTTGAGGCCTAAACCCTAAACCCTAAACGTTAAACCTAAACCCTGAACCCTAAACCCGAAAGCCTAAAGCCTAAAGCCTAAAGCCTAAAGCCTAAAGCCTAAAGCCTAAAGCCTAAAGCCTAAAGCCTAAAGCCTAAAGCCTAAAACCTAAAGCCTAAAGCCTAAAGCCTAAAGCCTAAACCCGAAACCCTAAACCCTAAACCCTAACCCCTAAACCATAAGCCCTAAACCCTAAACCCTACCGCCGTCGACCCTAACTTCCTTAAGTGAGAGCAAACACTTCTTCGGGCACGCCAACCTTTGCTGAAAAGTTCTGCAAGCAGGTTGTTTCCGGAATTAGCGGAAGCAACATCAAGAAACATGGCCTGGAATTCCTGCTGACATGTAGAAATGTTAACAAACATATACTGCACTTGACACACACTTCACTTCACTTCGCTTCACTTCGCTTCACTTCACTTCACTTCGCGGGCCTCTTGCGTCGTCAAGTCCGGCGAGTCCAACTATCTACGCGTAGAGTCTGGCAACAATCTCCGCATTGCGGGCGTTCAGCTAGTGGACTGAAGATAGTCACTATCAGCACTGCTACGTGCCTCACGGACACGGTGGCCTAAGAGTGGCTACCCCCGCGTGGGGACCACCTCGAAGGCACCCCGACACACAAACAAACAAGCCATCAAGCAAACGAACGAACAAAAAACACAAGCGCGTTCATCCAAACCGACGCGCGAGAACTATGACGTGGTAAACCCCAAACCCTAAACTAAACCCTAAACCCTAAACCCTAAACCCTAAACCCTAAACCCTAAACCCTAAACCCTAAACCCTAAACCCTAAACCCTAAACCCTAAACCCTAAACCCTAAACCCTAAACCCTAAACCCTAAACCCCTTGAACTCCCCTCAGTTGGGGCCTGGAGGAAGTTTTGGCGCCAGCGCGCTCCGCATTCGGTGCCGCGGCGATGCCAAAGGCCGGAGCCCGAAAGCTCCCGAGGGTTTTAGGGTTTAGGGCTAGGGTTTAGGGTTTAGGGCTAGGGTTTGGGGTTTAGGGTTTAGGGTTTAGGGTTTAGGGTCTAGGGTCTAGGATTTAGGGTTATGGTTTAGGGTTTAAGTAGGGTTCAGGGTTTCTGGTTTAGGGCTAAGGGTTTGGGTTTAGGGTTAAGGGTTTAGGAGTTTAGGGTTTAGGTGATGACTGGTTTAGGGTTTACTTCGGGCGCTCTTCGCTAAACCATCATACCCGAAGCCCTACTTCAGGGGTTCAGGGTTTAGGGTGTCCCTTCAGGGTTTAGGGTTTAGGGTTTAGGGTTTAGGGTTTAGGGTTTGGGGTTTAGGGTGATTTTACGGGTTCTGGGCCTTTGGTTGCTGGGATTAGAGATTTGGGGTGTGAGGGTCTAAGGTCTGAAGCCCTACTTCACAAGAGAGTCCAAGCAACCTCTTTAGGCTATGGGTTTTCGGTTTAGGACAGCCCCATACGTGGAGGCTCATGGTCACTTTGAAGTAGGGCTATATAAACATATATATATATATATCTATAATGCGGTTAGAACCTTGTGCTGGGTACTTAAGAACCCTGCGTAAAAAAAGTACTCGCAAACCTTTTCGGGCAACCCTCGTAACGTTCTCGGAGCCGTGATCTCGTAAACACCAAATACCCGCTGTTCAGCCATGGGACCCTAGACCCTAGACCCTAGACCCCAGACCCCAGACCCTAAACCCTAAGCCCTAAACCCTAAACCCTAAACCCTAAACCCTAAACCGTGAACCCTGAACCCTAAACCGTGAACTTTGAACTCTAATGGTCCCCTTGTGCTGCGTAGGTGGCCCACGGTGTGGAAGTCTCGGGCGAGATCCCAGCTCTCATCCTGTGCCACGGGCCGTTTTTTTTTTTTTTTTTTTTTTTTTTTAGTTTTTTTGACTTACATGTCCGACACGATGGCAAACAGCTCTCAAGGGGGGGGGACGTAGTACAGTTGGCCATGGTCTGAAAATGAAGGTGGGTGACACAGGTTACCTCAAACTGGCTGATGCCAACCTCGATCCAGAATGGCGCCAAGGTGTCATCGTCGATCGCAGCGCTGCTGGCGCACTCAAACTTGCCGTCAGAATCACAACAGAGGAACGTCAACACTGTGCGGCTTACTTCGGCTTCGAAGCCGGCAGGCGGTCGTTCATTCTGGTAACAGGCAGTGCCCAGCAGATCGTTTCGACATGCCCCGAGCACCACCTGGCTCTCGAGATGAAAGCATCCAAGCTAGTGGAACAAGCAAGTTCGTTTTTGGCAAGTTGCCCTGCAGACACCAACGAGGAACAGATGTTTGCTACAGCTTCAGAAGACGTAGACAACCCCAACAAGCCAACCGCGACTCGCGACCAGAGCAAGTCACGCCACCAGTCCCTGCTCGACTTCGAGGACGGGGAGGACGACCTGTCTTCGAGTGCTGCTTCAGGAGACGAAGACCCGCTGAACGTGCTGCTGAGAGCACAAAAGAAACTTCGCGATTCTTCTACAGGCAGAGGCAAAGCCAGCGTTGCTGCAACACTGGACGAGGGCAGGAAGGGCCGAAACCGGTACCCTCTGCTTTCGAAAGGGAGCAGCCGCAAGAAAGAAGAAGACCACCAGGACTTGGACTTGCGGGTGGCTCTGCAAGCTGCGTCTACGGCAACGGGCTCGAAGCAAAGCACAGAGGACCCTTTGAAGACGCTTCTGGCGCTAAAGATGCTGGAGACGTTCAAGCCAAAGAAGAAGACTCGCAGAAGGAGCCCGTCCAGTTCAGTCACAAGTCGGAGTTCCAGCTCTGGGGCTCGAGACAGCCGCTCTACTGGAGACAAGGGTGCCGCCCAGGCTCTCAGGCAGTACCACGAGTCAAAGCGACGCATGTTCAAGCGCCCTCTGAAGCATGTGAGACGCTACCTGAAGGAGGTAGAAGAGCAGCTGGGCGGAGGGGACGACGTTCCGTATCGCCTGGTGGACTACACTCGCAAGATCTACTGGGGCAAGCAGCGGACCCTGCAAAGGTTCCATGTCCTGCTCCACGAGATCTTGCGCCTCATGCTGATGAACCGCTTCGAGGAGGCGGCGCTTCAGACGGTACTCAGTCTGCGAGCAGTGCACCAGTGCAGCCTCGACAACGGAAGGTGGGACTTGGCTTGGTTGCTCACCCACGTGGAGGACCCTTTTCAGAGAAGACGTTGGGGTGGCGAAACTCAAGAGGTCGAGGTCGTTGCAGCTTACGTCAAGGCGCTGGAGGACCTGGAAAAGAAGACTCGTCAGACCCGCTTCTTCGGCGACGGAACGCAGCAGGCGGAGGAAGAGGAGCAAGCCGAGGACAAGTCCAACAAGGGGAGAGCAAAAGGAGCCAAGGGCGGACCAAAGGGCCAGCCCAGCCCCTGAGAGCAAACAGTCAGCACGACCTCCTTGGGCTCATCGGCGCCTCTCCCGGAGCCTTTGGAAGGTTCTGGCGTGAGTCCCGAGCCGTGAGCTTGAGGATCAGGGCAGATTCATCCATCCCACTTGCGATGGAGTGCACGAAGCTTTTTCCGTCCATACTGCCGTGGCACTGGATTGCAGGCTTGACGCAGCCTGCACGTTCAGGCCGCGCAAGGCAGCGAAGACGAGGCCGAGCACGGGCTCTCGAGTGGACCCAGCAACTGTGGTGTCTCTTCAGCTTCTTTGAGTGTGGCAGCCCGGCGTCAGCTCAAGCTGTGTCAGCCGCCATACAGCGAGGACAAGACACGCCGTTGTCAACCGTGCATCTGGCTTACGCATCTAATTTGTTTAATGAAGTCTTAGTCTTCTGCCGCCAACCGAAGCCAGACCTAGGTTGTAGAGGCGTTGCTAGGCTTAGTGAATTACTTGCTAGAATTCGTAAACTGCAATACGACAACTGCTCTATAGGCGATCTAGATGGCCTCGCTTCTCAAGCCAAGACGCTTGATCCCGCGCGCGTGTCGCTGCCCAGCAAGGGTGGTATACTGAAGCCTGAGGAGATCTTGCAAGGGGAGAAGCTTGACATGTTTTTACGCATGCCCACTGACATCCCTGAATCTTTGTTGGGCACTCCGGACGTCAAAGCATGTCACAAGGTTAAGCCTAAGACGATGCCCCAACTTCTCAGAAAATTGTGCGATGCAGACATGATCGCTTTCATCCCAGCGGGGGAGGCCTTGTATGAGAATGGCAAGCTTGTCTCAGGGGGCTTGTTCGCTGTTCCGCACAAACCGGAGTCAGATAGGTTAATTAATGACCGACGTCCTTTCAACATTAGGGAAAAAAGGTTAGTTTGGGCGCAGCTTCCAAATGGGTCGCAGCTCACACAGTTGATCATCCCTGAAGGTTTTTCCTTAAGATGTTCAGGGGACGATTTGTCTAACTACTTTTATCTCATCCGACATCTCCCCGCGTGGGTTCCCAGAAATGCCTTCGGCCGCGAGTTTGACGGCTCGCTTCTTCCAGATATGGGGTTAGTGCCAGGGGTAAAGTACGTAGCTGCTTTTAAGGTGCTGTGCATGGGAGACTGCAATGCGGTTGACATAGCTCAAGAGGTGCACCGTCAAATCTTGGCCAACGCGCGGTGCATGAATCGTGAGAACACCTTAGAGTTCCGAAAGATCATCCCGGCTACTAACACATACGAGGGCCTGTACATTGATGACCACCTGGTGTTTCAGCTTTTGCCTTGTAGAGGTTCGGGGCTCAGAGAGGACAATTTTGACCAAGTGCTTCTGGAGAGAAGCCACAGGCAATACTCTCAACTACGCTTGCCCGTGTCTGCAAAGAAAGCTTTCACGAAACAGTATGCTTTCAAAGCCTGGGGGACGGAAGTGTGCTCACGCTCAGGAAGAGTTGGTGCTCCGCACGAACGCTTGCAGCAGATCTTGGAGTTGGTGGAGTCATTTGTCAGCTTAGATTTCGTCTCATTAAAAGCCATGCAAAAGTTGATCGGTCTCTTTGTTCATCCTTTTCTCCACAACCGTCTGTGCATGTCTGTCTTTTCCAGGACGTACAAGTTCATGAGCAAAGTTGAGGGATCCAAGGCCTTCAGACTGCCCTGTGCCGTGAAAGAAGAGTTGCTGCAAGCGGCTCTGCTTTTGCCAGTGTGTCACGCGAACATTCGCATGCCTGTCGCAGCCCGGGTTTCCTGTACTGATGCCAGCCTAAGCGGAGGCGGGCGGGCCTGCACGCTCACGAGCCCAGCCTTTGCGCAGCTGCTTTATAGGATAGGGGTTCACAATGGTGAGTATTCGCGTTTAGATTGGAGTCTTGCCCCCGTAGTGCCCCCTTCTTCCATGGACATGTGCCCTCAAGTAATTGAGAAAGTTCTGCTGCAACATAAATGGGTCGAAACACACAGGGTTCGATACGTCAAGCCCTCGCACATCAACCTCTTGGAGATGCGAATGGTTAAGGAGGAACTAAAGGACTTGGTGCATCGTTGTCCTTGTAGTTTACGGGCTTGTAACCTGGTTGACTCGAGGGTTGTGGCTGGCGCTTGGGCTAAAGGGCGTAGTTCTTCAGTCAAGCTTAACAGACTGTTGCGCTCATGCCTTGGATGGGCCATAGCAGGGGCGAAGCGCATCACCAATGTGTGGGTGAGCACTCACTCCAACCCAGCAGACTATCCCTCTAGAGGTCGGGTCATTCCGCCGCCCGAGCCCCTTCAAGAAGCACGAGACCTCTGCCTGCCGCGTCAAAAATGCTTCAAATGCCATGGTCTTTAGCTGAGTGTTGGGATCGCATCGTTCACGGCGTAGCAGATCCGCCGCCGAAGCTGTGTAGGAGGGCTTCCCCAGCTCGCTTTGCTGCGCATGTCTGACGCAGGCCCTCAACGCAGAACGTTGCTGTTCTAAGTCTTTTGGCTCGGTTCTGTAGTGGTTGGCTCTTGTAGTTGTTTACAAACTGTACAGTCCATGCATGCCGAATTCTCATGTGGGCAACACGAGACGGGCTGCTGTGTCGGGCATTGAAATTCGCCTGTCGAACTTGTCTCTAGCATACCGGCAACGACTAGCTCGGGGTTTTTTAGCTTTCAAACGCTTCCTTCGGCGCAGGCGATATCCGTCGCTTGTGGCGTTGCTGCCCAGACCGCCGTTGCTAGACGAGTGCCTACATCGCTTTGTTGTGGCGCAGCATGCTACAGGCAGTCGAGGGGCATTGTGGTTGGCCAAGCACGCCGTCCTTGCATGCCAGTCGGTCCAACCGCGTTTGCGTGGGCGCTTGGTTGAGACGTGGAGCACTTTGAAAGCGTGGGAGGAATCCCGTGCCAGCAGCCTCAGGCCGCCATTGCCAGTGGGTGTCTGGGTTATTCTAATCGGTTTAGCCAGGGCTAAGGGTTTGGGGGCACGGAGTGAGGCACGCGCGCGTTGGTGGATGTTTGCAGTCCTGCTTGAGGTAGGGTTCTTATGTCTCCTTCGCCCGGGGGAACTGTTCAAGCTCACCTTCGCTGACATTAGCCTGCCGGGCTCCATCACCATGAATGCTGGAGCAGCAGCCATTCGATTGCAGCGTCCTAAGAATCACCGGCAAATGGGTCGTCAGCAGTTTGTCTTGCTGCGAAATCCCAATGCCTCGCGCTGGCTGGCTCTTGTGTGCGGCGACCGTTCTGGGTCAGAGCCGCTCTGGGGTTATAGTCAGGTGCTCTTCAGGTCTATGCTTAACGAATTGCTGAGTGCCATGGAGCTCCGTTCTTGCAGGTTTGGTTTGAGTTCTTTGAGGCCCGGCGGGGCCACTTTCCTATTTCAGGCTGGAGTTCCCGTCTCCACTCTGAGGTTTTTAGGAAGGTGGTCTGTAGAGAGGTCCCTCAGCCATTATTTGCAGGAAGCAATTGCTTTTCAACTTGTGGCAAGGCTGCAGTCATCGGCTCAGACCCTACTTCGTAGTGCTCTTCCCGTGGCGCTCAGTGTACTTTCCCCGCCGCAGTGTTTGGAGCAGCAAGACGTGCCTGGCCCGAACTGGCGGCCTCCGGCCATCACACAGTGGCAACTGGCTCTCACTGCGGCTGAGAGCTATGCAGGCTTTGGAACAGCAATTCCACAGCCATGTAATTTCGGCTGGGAGTTTGAGAGGCCAGCGCTACGGAGATGTTGAGGCTGAGGCTGTGCGCCGTGCAGCGCAGCGATACCCTGCAGACCCTTCCTTTCACCAATACGCACGAGCGCGAGAGGCTTTGCAACAGTTGAATGCCCACTTGCAGCCTCGTGTGAGTTCTGCAGTACCTGCTGCTAGCCCTATGCCTTGTCAGCCTATCCCCAACCCTAGGGCAAGCCCACGTAATTCCCGCTGCTGTGGATGCCGCTTTGTGCAGCTGTTGCGCGTGCGCAAGGTGCCAGTCGCGTTGGCGCTGTGCTGCTGCGTCCTCACCTTCCGGCCGGCTTTCGGGGTGCTACTCAGCAAAGTACTTGCCCTCTGTGTGCGTGTGGCTGTGAGGCACAGCAGTGCTCTGCTCACCACTGTTTTTGATGAGCTTTTGGAAGAAGCCTTGGCTCAGGTGGATAGTGCCCTTCGCCCACCGGTGTGGGCCGTGCCGCCCGACGGCACGTGCCCCGTGCAGCAACTCGGTGTCACGACCTTCACGCATGTTGTGGGCAACCTCGTGTCGGCCACCAGTGGCGCAATAATCGCCTTGTGCGCACGTGCTCTCAAGGCGCGAGTGCGTGTGGCCTAGCTTCTGGGGTTTCAGATTTTTGACCGCCTTACTGGGGCTGGGTGGATTTGGCATCTTAGTCTTGCCTTGTTGGTTGCTTCTCTGCAACTGCCAGCTGTGTCATCAGACATCGGGCAGCCCATCGCTGCCGAGCCGCAAGTGCCCAACTCCTGATGTGGCTGCAAACAGCAGTCGTGCAACCAGCACAGCAATCCTTCTCAGTTTCACTGCATGCAAAACTGCATTGCAAAACGCGTCACTGTGAACAATCTCAGGCCCAAAGAAAAAGCTGCGCGATTGAGCTTTACGATGGAGTTGCTGCAGCCAAGAGTGGTAGGACATGACTTACATGTCCGACACGATGGCAAACAGCTCTCAAGGGGGCCGCCGCCTCCCCACCACACTCCTCGCATCTTAGTCTTGCCTTGTTGGTTGCTTCTCTGCAACTGCCAGCTGTGTCATCAGACATCGGGCAGCCCATCGCTGCCGAGCCGCAAGTGCCCAACTCCTGATGTGGCTGCAAACAGCAGTCGTGCAACCAGCACAGCAATCCTTCTCAGTTTCACTGCATGCAAAACTGCATTGCAAAACGCGTCACTGTGAACAATCTCAGGCCCAAAGAAAAAGCTGCGCGATTGAGCTTTACGATGGAGTTGCTGCAGCCAAGAGTGGTAGGACATAATAATATTATTTTATTTGTTTTTGTTGTTTGTTTGGGGGGGGGGGGGGGGGGGGGGGGGGGGGCGGGGAG